TCTCTCATGAAACAATATGTAAACATCTAAGGAATATGGAAAAACTCCATAAAGAAGGTGTTTGGGTGCCTCGCGAACTCTCCAATGATCAATGTTTCCAACTTATGAACATTGCTTCGTCTCTTCTGGCATGTAATGCTCGTGAACTATTTTTGAACAGAATTGTCACTGGTGATGAAAAATGGATTCTCTTTGCGAACATTAAATGCCTAAAACAATGGCTCAGTCCTAGACAAAAACCACTTCTGACCCGAAAACCTGGACTCCATCTGCAGAAAGTGATGCTTTGCATTTGGTGGGACATCAAAGGAGTAATTCATTTTGAACTCCGCAATCCACAGCGAACTGTCAATGCAGAAATCTATAATCAGCAACTGGAATATTTAAATCAAGCCCTACATCAGAAACGCCCTTCACTCATCGATCGGAAAGGTGTTCTCCTCCTCCACGACAATGTACGTCCACATGTGGCTCGTTTGATGCAACACAAGATTATGGAGTTGGGTTGGAAGTTCTCCCCACTCACTATATTCTCCAGATATGGCACCATCAGATTACCATCTTTTTCGTTCACTGTAACACCATCTTAATGGGAAAATGTATGCAAATGTGGAAGGTGCTAAAGATGATATTGACATGTTTTTGGCTTCAAAGCTAAGTGATTTCTGTAATCAGGGCATTAACAGCCTGATTGTAAGATGTAAAAGCATCATCACTGAGAATGGAGACTATTTTATTTAATATGTATTTTGTTTTGATATATATATACGTTGTTTGGGTTTTAATTTGGTGACATTAATTTGATTTATAAGTTGTTGAATGGGGTAATAACAAGCTACTTGCAAGCATATCTTGTGAAGAAATATTTTGTTTTTCATTATCTAATTTAATCAAACTTTATCTGACCTAATAAGTTTCTAATTTTTACATTTTAATTACTTTTATTACAGTAAATAAAAAAAGGTACATAAAAACAAGAAATTTAGTATTTATATTTGGTCTCTTGTTGTTTTTGTTTTTTTATGTTGGCCTTCTGACAAAACTTAACTATAGTTCCTTATAAAGATATTATTAGTAACTGAAATAATTTTAATTTATTTGAAATACACTTAAGAACACAATATAACAATGTTCTATAACTATCCCTATTTAACCAGCTTTCTAACTGAGGCATAAGTGCCTTAAAATAATTTCCTTAGCTGTTTTATCTGAATCTGGGGATAATAACTTTGAATTTGTAGGTGAAATAACTAAAAATTTCCACTAAGACAAGGTAGCACTATACATTATTCCACAAACTAAAACTTGGTTATGAATGATGCAATAGAAAATGTCAGAGAGAATTACTGGCAATTTTTGAAAGAGAAGATGTGATAGAAGGTTGTGGATAGTGAGTTTGTCTTTCTGGTTATAAAAAAATACACTATTCTGTAGTAATACCTATACTATAATGAGTTAAACACAGTATGTTATGCAGGAGTGATAAAGAAGAAGAAAATATGCAGTTTGGGGCAAACAAATGTCGCATTACAGACAGATGGAAGTTGTAAACTTGCACAGTGTCAAAACTTGATTTATTAACTGTTTTTATGCCAAGTTTATTTGTATATATTGGCAATAAAGTGTTTTTTAATCAGACATTGAGTGTAACTCTCTAAAAAGTTGTGATGTGTACTTTTCCCTACCCATATCAAAAGAGTTAATTTGCATGTATTTCTTTTTCAATGATAAAAGTACAAGAATCATGACTTATTGCAGGACACATTGGGTAGATATACTGAGATAGGCTAGAAATGATAATTAAAACAACTTTTAATGATCTCAACTGATTCAATACTTTTGAAGGAACTAATGTTAATAAGTTTTTCATTTAGCATCACTCTTCTGATAAGAACAGCTATTGTATTATTTTGTCCTCGAGTATGAAACATTTCGATTAACATTCACAGAATTTATATTTACTTCCTCAGGTCTCTCAGCAACTTTGCCAAGGGGCAGAAAAGGAAGGAAACTCAGGAAGGATGGAAAAGGGTCACCTGTTACTCCAGATAATATTTTGGCAGATTGGGCTCAAAATGAAAAGTATAATCCTGACTTCTTGTTTAATGATACAATCTACAGAAAACATCTTCAACGAAATGCTAACAAGTAGGATTCTTTCTGTTTGATGTTTTTGAAGTGTGTGTGTGTATTACATATAATCGTACAGATTTGGAATAGTGATACAGTTGTTCTAGAACATCATTAATGAAGTTGGTTTATAAGTTGTTCTGAAATATATTAACAACGAGAGTTGTTCTACATAATCAAAATTATTTATCGAATATATAGATTTAGTACAGTTTATAGTAACAGTGAAATAATTAGCTTTATTGAAATAAACAGATGTTGAAACTACTGTACCCTACTTACTTTGGTCTGATATATTATCTACATATATATAGCACCAAAATTTGTGTGTCTGTTTGTTTGGCCATTATCTAACTACTACTAGGTCACTGGGCCAGTCTTAACCAAACTTTGTGGGATGATAGTTTGGAACAAGAGGCACACCTCCACCCCCATGATTGATGTTATTGAGCTTATGTTATCTTTCTCATAAGTTAATGCTCACTACGTTCATAGATGGCCCTATGTTCTTACACCAAACATAAAATAAATGTATTAAATTTTCTATAACACAACATACACACAGTGTGGGGGAGGGCACACAAACGTCTTGTATATCTTGGAGAGTATGTTAGCACTCTCTATGGAGAAATGCAATGAAAACAGTGGCCACCACTATTACAATAATAAATAAACTCAGATAAAGTTTATACTACAACAGCCACCATTACACTGATAGGAAGAGCTGTTTCTTGAGTTATACCCACTTCTTACTTTGACCCGTGACCTTACAATTTCATCCTGTAAGACACTTCTGAAGCCAATGACCATCAATTAATTGATAATATGAAATAGTGTGGAAGGGAATTAACAGTTGAGTGTTGAAAATGAGTAACAGAAAACCTCTTCTGCCACTATTTTGGCCGCTATCTCTTCGTACAAAGTCACCCTGACCATTGCATAGTGTCTACAGTGTTTTATATATATACATAATGAGTTCTTAAAGCTTATACAAAACTTTGGGAGAGATATTAATGAATACTATAATAATATGTTATGTGTGAAAGTTAGAATTTTTGTGTTATTTATCATAGCATCCACTCCCCACATTTTTAAAAATTCATAACCTGGCACCCCCCAGTAGCACAGCGGTATGTCTGCGGACTTACAACGCTAGAAACCGGGTTTCGATACCCGTGGTGGGCAGAGCACAGATAGCCCTTGTGTAGCTTTGTGCATAATTCAAAACAAACAAAACAAACAATCATAACCTGGACAAAGGATGGGTACCTAATCTTGTTCTTAATATGTTAAACAACAAATCATTGGTTGTAGTATCCATGGGCATGGTGATAAAAGTGTCAGGTATATGACAGTGTATAGAGTGTTTCATATTAGTGATCAAAACTAACAGAGAATTCTGTCAAACTTTTTAGTTTTTTTCTTTTTTAAATACTGAACTTTATGCTAATGTAGGTGAATGTCCAGTTGCTTTAAGTTTAATAAGTTTGGACATTGCATTGTTATTTAGACATTTTATTTAAAATTATTGTTGAAAATTGTACTAAAGCTGCCTCAAAAAGTCTTTATGCACTTTTGCTTATAGTGAGAAGTAATATCTAGAGCTGTGATATTAGTGAAATTTCCAAGTTGATTAATCATCAAACTTATTAGGTGATTACATTTAACTAATCAGTTAGTCTCACTTGAAACTAATCTTTTTAAAGACATTTTCAAACTACTTTTTAGTTGATGTGATAAACATCTTTAGGTACAACAATTGAGGATTAAGTTGTTTAATCCTAAAATATTGTACATGAAGATACAGCATATACAAAATGTAACAAATTTTCCTAAGACTGCTAAAACCAAATAAACTGATTCTTCATTAAAAATAATTGTCTTTATATTTCATGTAATAAAAGTAGCAAAGTTTCTTCTCGCAGCGTGTGTTAGAGGATATATAATTCAGTAAAAACACATTCATAATGATCCTAGAAAAACAATGACAGTACAATGTTTACTATGTGGCAAGAAAATTCTTAGCAGAGAATAAAAAATTATTCATAAGGTAGAAAAAGAAGTATTGTAAGAAATATTAAAATCATTGTAATATTAATAATTCTTTAGGTACAGATGGTTTGGGAGAACTTAAATAATTGATAGTTTTATAAATATAAAAAACTTGTGTTTTTTAAATGAGAAGCTGTTGATATGGGACAGAAGTTTAGGAAGAGCACGCTAAGATGATTAACATGTTTACATTTTATGTAACATGCTGGAAACATGCTTGCTGAGGAATCAGTAAATCAAAACACTTAAAGATTGTTGTGCTAGGTGACAGCCGACTTTTGTTTTCCCATTTTTTGCTTCATATTTAGCTACAACTTACTTTAACTAAACAGAAGTCCCGTTCTTTTAATTAGGATAATGACTTAATAGGTTGCTTATTGTTAGAATGTTATTAGTCCGTGTCTAATCATTTGAATGGGGTCTCCTACTGACTTCTACCTTGGTCAGATTGATTGCTTCTGTTCCTTCTGTAGAGATACTTTGGTGAGGGGGACTTTGTCTACTTGATGTAGCCTCTGGGTGTTACACATGGCTTCTTTTTATTGTCACTTGATGTTCGTGAGTTTTCTAGCTGCATTTGTATTGCAAATTGCTGTCACCTGTTTTTTTTGTTTTTTTGTGGTTGTTGACCTCTCGACCTTCTTTGGCTCTAGCAGCTGAACATACTCAGACCTTGGTATCAGGGCCATTCCATTTGGGTTGACTGATGCCAATGGTGTCTGTATCAACCTAGGTGTGTGTGTTTGTGTGTAGGGGGGTCCGTTTGTAGTGGACACTTGAAATTTTTCATTGGAGATCTTTGGGTTCTAGTATCGAGGTTGGTCTTTCCATTCAATTCTTCACCTCCATTATCTTCTCACCCTGTGGTATTTCCACCTCCACCTGACTAGTGGGGTGGGGATTTTCATAACATTGTAATACCATATTGCAGTAGTCATAGTATTTTCTCATGCACGACACCTTTGTCTTCTGACTGTTGGTTGTGGCAGTGTATATTTTAACTGTTGGCAATGAACGATGGTTTTTGTAATATATATATATTTATTACTTATATTGTCTCTCTGTTATTTAATCCATTACTTTATTATTATTATTATCTTCCTCTTTTCTGGACTCTGGGGATTTTTCCCAGTATCCCCACTCTCTCCGTAGACTTGATTAGCATTGCTTTTTGACTTTGCTTGAAAATTGAGTTATTGTATACAAAAATTAAATGTGAAGACAATCACCTTTTTATGGCTTACAAATATACAGAATATCATAACTAAATGACAGTAAAACACAATGTATTGCCTACAAACCTGTCCAATCGATCTTGGGTATTATAAAACTTATCAAGTCCTTGTGTAACTATTTAACAAAGAAAGGAAGCCATACAGCAAATATATTGCAAGAAAAAAAATAATCTCAGGTTTCAGATGATATACTTGTGAAGCTGAGTTGTTCATTTTCTCTTAATAATACTTGGAAAGCCATAGCTTAAAGGAGTTAATTTATGTGACACTAACTGATGTAATTGATATTTACAGGTTATTGACTATATCGATGTATCAAGCTGATTGCCCAACTTTGTGAAATAGAAAAAATATTTTAAATTAACCCCTTTCGTATAAGGATTTTTTTGGAAATAAGCTAAAAGAAATAACTATGATAGAGAGCTACACAAACATTTCTAATTCAATCTAGCAACAATTAATTGCAATACACAATACATTTGAATAAATTTGGGCAAATACTTTAAAATTTGGTGAGAAATGGTTTGCCCGAATAAACTTGGCCAAATATTTTTTTTAATCATGGAGGTCAAATCACAGAAAGGGTTAATCAATAAATAGATATTACTTCTTGTTTAATCTGTATGTGAATTTATATAAGTATTTCAACAAGTTGTACAAAGTTACATCTTTAATTAAAACTCTTATGTTTGAAATATTTTAAATGCACTGAAATTCAACTATGTCTGGTCTAATTAAACCCCTTAAATTGCAAACAAAACAGTGCCATTATATTTCTGAATACATATGAGTTCCAAAATCCTCAACAGTATTTACAAGAAACCCTACAACTTCAGTGATCTTGAAAGGGTCTTGAAACTCTGTGAATATCTATAAAATGTATTAGGTTATTGAAAAGTTTTTAATTTTAGATATTTGTATATAAAAAAAAAAAAAGAGTAGAACTGAGAGAAGGGAAAAAATCTTTGTTTCTGATATGAAAAGGGGGAGTAAAACAACTGAATTATCATCATCATCATGACTTGCTTTTTCATGTTTTGGTCCATGTTTGTTTTTATTTTGTATTTTAATTGATCATCACTGTACTATATTGTGTATTCAGAAGAAAAAGGTATCTATTCTAAATATTCATTTTCTAGTACAGGACATAGATCAAACACTGATTAAAACGATTAATGAGAAATAAATAAGTTAGATTAGGAACTTTTAATATATATATATGGTATTATTTGCTACTAATATATTTTATGAAAATAGTTAAAAGCTGTTTGAATCAAAGTAGTAAATAATTTTTGAACCTCTGAGCGAACAGTAATGGAGTTCATAAATTTAGTGTAGTAGGCCTGCATTGCAGTTAATGTTTTGTGTAAGTTAGTCATATTATTAGTCCATGTCTAAGCATTTCTGACAAACACTGTTAAAGGAGCAAGTTTTTCAACAGTCATCCTTTTTTGAGTAAATAAAGAATATCAAATTGCCTTAACATTTTTTTTTGTTACAGTAACACTAGTTATGTTTGTAGTTTGTAATAATATGTAAGAAATATATCATTCATATTTTTTGAGTCAACTTTGATTTATAATATTGTCAAAACTTTGGTCATGAGGCAAATTCTACAGAATTTCCCATGACAAGTATCAAGACAATTCTCATATCTCTAGTTTTGCTTTTTAATACATCATGTGCTTCAAGCTCTGCTTTAGCTCCAAAAATGCCATGACACCTATGTTATTAAGCAAGTATCATCAACAAAATCAGTTGACACTTGTAATCAATAACCTATTAAGGCCTGCTTAACGGATTGGTAGTTCAGGTTGGTGTGAAAATAGGTATGTCCTTGGCCAAGACTTTGACTGTGTATAACAATTTCCAAAGGCAAAAGTAACATAGTTCAAAGTGTGAGCACATATATTAAACTAAACTCCTTATTCTCTCAGAAAATGTTTAAGACATGTGTGAATAGAGATTTATGTATATTTTATATTATATGTGAGCACATATATTAAACTAAACTCTTTCTTCTCTCAGAAAATGTTTAAGACATGTGTGAATAGAGATTTATGTATATTTTATGTTATATAGGGGTATCTGCATAGTAATAAATGTGCCTGTACAGTTGATGGCATATCATAAGATTTTGCATTTATTTCATAATGACCTGTAACATGCTTGTGAGTAGGTACTTGTTTAAAAAAAAACGTTTTAGAAATATCTACAGGTTCACATCAGTGATAAATATGCAGTATACAAGTACACTAATTCATTTTATGAGGAAGTACAAAGATATGAGACATGCTTAGCTGAAGAATCAAGACACATTTTGCTGAATTGTTGTTTTTGTTTATCAAACATCAAAATGATGTGTTAAAAAGATAATTGTAAAAAAAAAGCATTTTCCCTTGTAAAGTAGTGTTAAATGTGATTATAGTTTTAAATGTTATCTTTACAGCCCAATGATAACTTGCTGTGCTACTTCTGAGAGGATGCATTGGTTTTTTTGTTACTCTGGTTGTTATTTTTTTGTGTTAGTGTTTCATTGTTTGTACCATATTTGATGTTTAGAAACTAGAAAAAAAAGGCACTAGCACTTTTGATTTACGTGCAATATTTTTTAGGATTTTGTTGAGGGTAAGACTTCTCTGTTATTTGAAACATGAAGTGATTGGAGAGCTGTGCCAACTAGTGGCAGCAGGAATACCATCCAGGTCAGTTGACAGTGTATTTTTTAACAAAAGAAGTGTATTTAATTCATTAAACTTGATATTCTGACACTTGTATCAGGATATATACAGAAGCTTTTATTAAAGTTTAACTCTTATTGCTGATAAAAAAAATAATGGCTTTCACAGTATAAGCATTAATTTTTAGTAACATGGTTTAAATTTTATAATGTTATTGAAATTATTTGTATATTTTAGTGTAACCAAGCTCTAAACTGACTGTGAACTTAATAAAATAAAATTTACTTTTACTTTTCTTTATTAGAGCTATACTTTAACTTGTTTGATATGATTTTGAGATGAACTTATGTATGAAATTAGGGTCATTTTTAAATCAGGCAGACTTCTTACCCCTGAAGTACTGATAGCCTTTCCTTATCGAGTTCTAAATGTCTTTGATGCAATGCAGAGCATGTGTCAACTCACACAGATTTCTCCATTCTTCCTAAATCCATGTGACTAGGGGTTTTCTTTCTATAGGACAGAAGGGGGAAGTTCCCCCTAAACTTCATCATTCCCATCCTAGATTTTTGAAATTTTGAAGGTTTTATTTCTAGATGATAATTTTTGGTGTGAAAAAGCTAGGCACTCTTAAAACTGTACCATTTTAGCTATTCTTAGAAAAAAATTCTTCTAGAATAGAACCAAACCATGTTTATAGGGGTACTGTGCCTTTGGCACGACTAATCAAATTAAATTCTGAAAGAAAACAGCTGCACATGATTTATTTTGCATACATCATGATAACTTAGATAAGCTGTTAACTTTATTCAATATGAAATCTCTGAAATGTGAACAACTGCTGCAGATGTTTATACCAATATTAGAAATTAAACAATTTCTTTAGAAACCTTACTCACATAGTCTGCCTCTTGCATGCAGAGACATCCTGTGGCAACATTGTCAGTCCTTACTGAGGAACATGTTCATGCTGTTAGTCCTGAATGTCCTTGGTGGGTTTCATGTTCACACGAAAACTAATTTGTCCTTTTCTCATTATAATACAAAAAGAAGAAACTCTGTGTTTTGCTCAGGTGTATTCACCTTCATTGTTGAAGAATAATATTTCTTAATTAGCCCTAATTCCTAATTTCTCACTCCATTTTTCTTTACCTTTCTGTGTCTCTCTCTCTTTGTTATGTTTTCCCTTATGCCTTAGGATGGTGATGTCATGTTGGATGATTCAATTCTTAAATCTTTATAATTTCTATTTTCTCCTGATTTTTGGTTTATTGCTGATCCATTTAAAAATTGGCTAACAGTAAATAACCTCTTAGTAGGTCATCTTCTTCTGCCAATTTTACTTCTGTCATTCTTGACTTTCTGTTCAATTTTTTTTTGGAGGGGAATCTATCATTTGGCCTTCTACATTACTTCATCATCAGTTTTATGTTATATATGCTTTGCTTTGTATTTAACTCTCTCAACATGGGCTTGGTCGATCTCACCAATCACATGACCTCTTTGTACTCTTTAAAGACTATATATTTCTGATACTCCTAACTTTTAATATAGTATGTATATCTTTACAAAATTTGCAGACTTTTAGTAAACATTATAAGACTTTCACATACAAAAAAATCATATTTTTTAGTGAAGTAGTTTTAATAAACTAAAAAAAAGAATTGTCTGTGAATATATCAAGTTTGTTTTTTTTACTAGTCCACGTGCAAAGTGATTTTCATGTTATGATTTAAAAAAATAATCTCTAAAACTTCCTAAATACATTTCAAATGTTTGTTTTCACTAAAACTATATTTTATCTGTTATTTTCTCTATCCTAACTTTATACAAGTTTGGTCAATTTGACCGACCTCCAAAATGCCAAAAAAAAAAATCTAACTTACCCTTTTTTTTCTTTCTAGAATGACTTCAGTTTGTAACATGAAACTACATTCATTTATCCTAAGTAGCTATAAATTCGTAACAGTATACACGTACTTATACTTAAATTTTGTTTTTTTATTGCCCTTTGAACCATGTCTAATTACTATTTGCGCACTTTAAGTTGTAAATCACTTGGGAAATAGGGACCTCATGTTATGCTATCTATTTACGTTACCCATGAGCTACTCTGAGCTGTTTAGCGTGCGTGCCTCGTGAAACAAGTTGAATTTTGAGTTATATCTTTTCACATTTTCCACTTAGCAACATATTTGGCTTCTTGGTATAGATACCCATTAGCGGACATCCAACAAGCTGACATGTGGATGAATTAAAATACATTTCTAAAATTCTATTTACATCATATTGCTATCTCTCTTGTGCTTTGGGATTCTGTTTATCACCCGCGATTATTTTCCAAATCAGACAAATTCATAGTAGGTGAGTTATTCTTTATTATCTGCTTATTTACCACTTGAGCCCACACCTATGATCTATATAGCAACTCAAGTATTTTTATGCTGTCCAAACCTCTGTTAACATTTACATGTATGTCTGGGGTTGAGAGGTTATTTTATTGAACAATAAAAAAAAAAGGAGAAACCTGCCTCCTGTCTTACCAGCTTCTATGTTTACACAATTTTTTACAGCTGGGACTTTCACAAGCTGTTACTTTAGTCTTTTTCTTAGGCACTTATAATTAATATGCAGCCTCTCCTTCACCCTGTAGATTCTAAAAATTGTTCAGTTGGGACTCTTCTGTGCTACCTAAATCCTAATTACAATTTCACTCTCTGTGCTAGTGCTTTCTAAGAAAGTGATGCCCCCTGGAAGTGGACAGTGGATGCAATCTGGTGGGTACCTTTCCTACCCCTATGTGTAAGTCTTTGAATAGCATTAGAGGAATCTGAGATGGGATGCCTGTTTTCAGTAGATATTTTGTTGCTCAATCAAGTATGGGAAACCCATATTTTCTTTTCCTTACCTGTTCATATTGCACCGTCCTAAAGTTGTTGAGTTGCATCTTCAGTACAGCGTAGGTATTTATTTGGCTCTCCGTGAGCACTGATTGACTTGGTCAGTTTTATGACTGACTGACCATTTCTGATGTGGATTATGGGGTCTGAAACCCCCAGGAGTATCTACACTAACAATTTTTTACTGGTTCACTAACCTGAGAACCTTCTACTACAAGCATAGAGCATAGTATTTCTTCTAACTGTTTACATTACTGCCTTTTCTCCCACCACCAGCTCTTACACATGTGAACACATTACAGCCCTCCCAACTTTTTTGTATGAAGCATGGGACATTAAGGGTGAAGAGATATTCTCTTGAGTTAAATCCCTCCATTCTGAATGCCCTTAGGTCTAGTATTTATATAAGGCTGGTCCACTCCACTGTTTCTTCCTTAAATCCATTTCATTTCTTACACATGTGAACACATTACAGCCCTCCCAACCTTTTTGTATGAAGCATGGGACATTAAGGGTGAAGAGATATTCTCTTGAGTTAAATCCCTCCGTTCTGAATGCCCTTAGGTCCAGTATTTATATAAGGCTGGTCCACTCCACTGTTTCTTCCTTAAATCCATTTCATCAAATATTTCTAGTTCTGAATTGTACTCAGACTTTGCTTGACCATATCTTTGGTATGGTCTAGGTTTTTACCTTCCTGTCCTGTACCTCATATATATTTTTTTGTATAATACTCTCTCCAGTTCCCAATTCCATTACAATGTCAGTATTCTGTCTATCAGTATTTCAGGTTTAAGTCTTATCTGATTTGAATTTTACATTTTAAGGATTGAAATCAATTTAGAACAGTTACCTTTTTCTGAAATAAATTAACAACCATCTCCCCACAACTGGCTTATTTGTGTGTTTCATCACAACTGCAACTAATAATTGTGAATTATGACAGGAAAGTAGAGCTTATTTAATTTCTTCAACCACACACATATATATACAGTAAGTCACATGGGAGGTAGGACCATTGAGATTTCTGGATAATTTGACACACATGGTTGTTGACAGTACAAGAGCAATTCAACAAGGAAAGGCTATCAATATTTCAGAAGTAGGTACCTATTTTAAATTCATTTTAATCCTAAAAATGTAAAAATTGGAAATACATTTACTATCATAGAATAGATTTTTCAAATAGTTGGTACTTTTAAACTGTTAAGAGTGAAGTTGTTGTTGAATCTAAAGAAGAAAAGTTTCAATTTTTGTTTTTCTTCCAGTGATATCCCCATCCCAACAACACTTTCTGATGGAGAATTCCCTGTCCCCTGGTGGGACAAGGAAGCAGATAGATCCTTGCTTATTGGTGTCTATAAGCATGGTAATTCTGTTAGTGTGTTAGATAACCTAATCGTTTCTTAAACTTTGTTTTTATGTATTTGGCATGGTGCAGTGACGGAAGGAGCATAAGCTTTTTTCACATTGACACTGATCAGTGATTTAATCTTTTGAGAGTATAAACATTTACAGGCTTCAAAATATTTTTTTATGTGATATGCTTATTGCAAATATAGAAAATTCTGTAAATTTGTAATTTTTATATATATGTTTAATGTAGTTCAGAATTATTAGAAGTAAAAGTATAAAATTATGAGAAATGTTGAAATATTTAATGTTAAAATATTTAAAGGTATCTACAGTTGCAAAACATGTCATATTACTTAAAACTTGTATTGTATTAATACCTAATATGCTTGTTAAAAACAAACTGGTTGAAATCATTTTGCATTCAAGTTAAGACTAAAGTTGTGAATAATAACAAAAACTCTTTGGTTACAGTTAGAAGTCTGCCATTGCCTGATGCTTAGGGCACTTGACTTGCAATCTGCAGGTCATGGCATTGAAATCCATCACCAAACATATTTGTCCTTTCAGACATGGTGTCATTATAACGCAGGCCTCGACAAATATTTTCAGATCTAGGAGCCAGCCCAAAAACTCAGGAGCCAGGTGTGCCTAACCTAACTTCACCAAGATTTCATACAGCTTGCATTGTTGTCTACTGTTCTATACTGCATAGCAGGCATCCTTTATTAACAGATGCATGCATGTTGGGGTGTCATCCAGTTACACATTGTCCTCTTCACTACAGATGATTGATATCTTCAGTCTGTTTTAACAAAGGCTTTTTTGTAATAATTCCCAAACATAGATTTATGCTAATTTTTGTTACTTATTTTTTCACAGGTGTTGGTAGGGTGCACTTCCATGTCTATTGCAAAAAAAGTTCTGAAATTTAGGAGCTATTTCAGCTTATGTTAGTGATTAAATTCAACTGAAATGGGAAAGGGCAATCAAAAGAGGAAGTATTGTAGGAGAAAAAATGGAATTGGACTCATCTAACTCACAAAATTCAGAGAAATTGAGTGTGACTGACCAACACTTGGCTTTTATGATTATGAAGACTTTTATAATTTAAAAGAAGGAACTTAAATATATTGAAAATTTTTATTTAGATTAAACAATGGATTAACTAGTGCAATACACTAGTACCTCGATTATCTGCGATTTTTTGCTTTCCCTGGACCATTGTGGATAATAGAGGTACCAGTGTATATTTATTTGCTTTCACAGCAACAAGTGCATGCTAACTATCACATGATATCAACAACCTCTTGATAGTATTGCCTGAACTAACTGCCTTTGGTCCTGTCTGAGTCTAAACACATGCACTGATTGGTTGAATTAAGAGAAAGAAGAAAAACAAAATGGTGTGAAATTAGTAACCTGTTAGGCAACTGCAGCACTTCCTTCCTGAAAAAAAAACAACGACATGAAGAAGTGCTGAATACATCTTTAAAATCCTAGAAACAGAGTTTGAATTAGGACTCAAAGATTACAAAAATAGTTCTGGGCTTTCAAGAGTCCAGAACTGTTCTAGAATCGAGTTCTATTTAGCACAGCCCTACGCATAAATAAAATGGGAGAAAAAATACTAAATACCATGATGAAATTTTTAGTCACCACGGTAACCTGGCACCTGGGATTTGTCAAGGCCTGTTTTAACATAATGGTTAATCCCACTATTTATTGTTAAAGTGTAGCCCAACAATTGGTGGTTGTGTAGTCTGTCACTTCAAAGTTAGGGAAGACTAACACTCAAGTAGCTCTGTGTGAAATTCAACAACAATACACACACAAACACAATTAGGAAAATAAATGTATTTTGGCCACTTTGAAAGGTTTTTATTGAATGTCATGAAAAATTAAAGTATTTTATGAAGCATTGTTTATTCTGATCTTAGTTCTCTCTAAAAACCTCTCAAATACTAGATCTAAAAGGGTGGTGGAATATTTTAAATATGAAAAAATTAAGGGAAGGGATCATCAAAAATTACTAGTTATTTAAGCACTTAAAAATTGTTCAGTTTATTATTCCAGTTGTCATTTAAACTGTTAAACTCTGTGGTAGTATTGGTTGTACTACTTGTTTTTGTTATTTGACAAGAAATAAAACCCCAGTCTTTACATGCTTATTAATACACTGTTTAGTGGATGTTTTTAAAAAGTCTGGGAGAATAAAGTTCTCTTATTAATGAGTATTTTTCATATGTTTCAAATTGACATAATTCAGCCTTAACCCTCTCTCCACAGACATCTTTTTCTGTGCATGACATGAGGTTTTAATAAGTTACATTCAACCTTTAATTAAACTACTAAAAATGTAGCTAAAAATCCATATTTTAATAGCATACAAGTTTTAAGTTCTTACTTTTTAAGGCAATGTCAAAAAAGATCAAGAATTTTCTCCTATATGAGAATTGTGACATTTGCTCTGTATACATCCCCTCTTCTCTAATTTATTTACCACCCCTCCGAGAAATATGAAATTTTATGTAAGTTACTCATTATTGTATCTTCATCGCTCAGGCAAAGCATCATTTTCATAGCTTTCAATCTTATTTGGTTACAGAGCCATGGAATAGACAATGTGATTCCATCTGTCACATCCTATCTTTCAGAAATTGCCAATAATTCTCTCTGTTGTTCAATACTATATTATTTATAACCAATAGAAAGTCAAGGTTTTCCTCTACCAAATGGTATATTGTATTATTTAGTTTTCTGTGAAAATAATTGTTAAGTTCACTTTTGGTTAAAGCTTGATTCCCACAGGAAACGCATTGATGAGCTTAGAGAAGTTTTAACAGCTCTTATTGCATAATTATAAAGTCAGAAAAATTGTGATAGTTATGGGACATTGTCTGCTTTTTGCACATTATTATTCTGTGTTCTTTGGTGCATTATTTAATTAAATAAAAAGTTACTTTGTTCAGTATTACCATTAGTATGAAAAAGTAGGGTTAAGTGTCATTGACCATTGACAGGAAATAAAAAGTAGACCCAGGTAAGTAATTTTTTCTTGTTTTTCATGTGTATTGTTTATTTGCTATTATAAAAGTAACTAAAATGTAAAAATAGGAAATTTTTTAGGTTTGTTAAGGTTAGAGTAGGCGAAATAATTAATAACAATTATATAATAAAAAAAATGTTCATGAGGTACAATCGCAAGCTGCTACGAGTAGCTCATGCATAATGTAATTTGGTAGCACATTTGACAAGTGATTTACAACGTATAATGGTGCAAGTATTAGTTAGACGAGGTTCAAAGGGTAATAGAACAAGAAAACTTAAGTATAAATAGATGTATACTGTTATGAGTTTAAAGCTATTTAGGAGAAACAAATATAGTCTTATATTACAATTTGAAGTCCTCCTAGAGAGAAATGTTAAAATAGACTTATTTTGATTTTTTGTTTTTGGTGGTTACAAGGTCAATCAAATTGACCAACCTTGTACAAAGTTACGGTAGAGAAAACAACATAAAATATAAAGTTTTACTGAAAAAAATGATTGATATTTATTTAGGAGGTTTTAGAGATTACACAAATAAAATTTAAAATCTTTGAGATTGAAAAAAGTTTTTGAATTTTAACATGAAAAACAATTTGCACTTGGACTATTCAAGTATATATTCAAGGACAAATCTTTTATAAAAAATACTTCATTAAAAAAAACTGATTTTTTTGTGTACAAAAGACCTCATTTTTACTAAAAGTTTGCCACATTTTGAAAAGATACACAAAGTGTATTCAAAGTTATAGTGTGGAAACCATACTGAATACAAAATGGTTACGAGGTCCGTCAATTCGATAGACCTCATAACAAGAGAGTTAATAGAAAAGATGATGTAATGAAACATTTTTTTTTGAAAAAAGTTTCAGTAGATTGGTATAAAGTAATTTCTTTACTACATGGTTCACTAACTTTGGTCTCTGTGTTTCAGGTTATGAACGATACAATGTCATGAGGCAGGACCCAGCATTGTGTTTCTTGGAAAAATGTGGTCCTCCAGATGGAGCTGCATTACTTGCAGAAATGACTGTGTAAGCCAAGGCTAAATATTTCTAAATAGTTAAGGCTATGTAATATATATATAATCATATTGAAAGTATGTGATTTCTGCTACACCAAATAATATCTTGTAGAATTTATATTATAATAACACGGTTTCTTTCTTTACAAGATGTGGTTGAAAAATAAAAATATTCAATATATAAAAAAAACTTTCATTAATGATTTGTATGTATGTATGTCTGTCTGTGTGTGTGTGTGTATATATAAACATAGAAATGTATTGAAACTTAGTTCACCTGAACTTCCCTAAAACAATTGAACCAATGTTAATATATGTGTAACATTTGTAGCTTAAAAATTTTAACTGAAATAAAATCTATAATAATTATTCCAGTAATACTAGGTGAAGAGCTGCAGTTCTGTGATCTATGGGAGTAAAAGGCTCTGTTTATTATTGTACAAGTACAATATTCCTTATTATTGAGCAACATTAGGTGCCAGAGTTCAATTCCCTGTGATAGACAGAGCTCAGATAACCCATTGTGAAACTATGTTTTGAGATAAACAAGCACCATCTAGGAAAATTCATCTGAATTAAATTGTAACTCATATTTAGAGGCATTTTTTAGTTTGTATGTTGTAAAAAAAATGCTATCTAAACTGTTCTATTACTTTTATTAGTTTACTACTGACAGAGTTGAAGAAGATAAACTTTTAGAGTTTAATCTACTTTTGTATGTTTTGCTTGTAAAATAAGTTAAAATTTCTAAAAAAATGTAATTATAAATAAATTGTTTATAAAAAATATCTTTGTATGAATATATAATCATAACGGATTGCTTAGAAATAATGTAAAGTTTCTTTCTGCAAAACACTGGAAACTTTGATTGTGTAGTTTTGATGTAGTAATACTTTTTTAAAACTTGTTTAATAAAAACTTCAGTTAACTGTATAATTTATGCTTTATTAACTCTGATGTATTTGTGTCGCAAAAAAATAAGTTTTTGGGATACCTTATTTACTAATGATTAAAAACGTGTAGAACAAACTTTCTGATCAATGTATAATGGTTGAGGAAAAACTATAGTATAAATGTGTGAAGAAATGTAGACATTTGTTTTCTTCTTTATACTTCATCTTTCTGTAGTAATGATGAGGACATCATGGAGAAGGTGATATGGAAAGATAGAAGGGAGAAAGATTATTTAGATGATGATGACAACTCATCTACTGCCACCTCAGAAGTTCAAACACCAAAGCCCCTTCCCGTACTTGAGAATGGTGAAGTCACAAGCATGTCAGTTGATGAACCAGGTATATAGAACTTAGAAAGTTTTAATTGGATTTGTGTCAGTATTTCAGAGAGAGGTCTTTCAGAAATATTGTATGCTTTGGTCTTGATGAAGGTTACTGGACTAAAATATTGACAAATTGATTCTTTTTCTCCTCTTAACGGTTTCTATATTTTCAGAATATGTGTTCAAGAAGACTTTTTGTGGAAAAAAAAGCATGTTATAGATTACATTTGCTGTGAAACTACTCTGCATATGGTAGAAATAGGATAATGACCTCTTTTGTTCATTTGAATAAATCGAGAAGACAGAATTTGTTCAGCTGTTTTTTATTAGCATAATATTTTATACCTGTTTCAATAAGTTTAACTATTCAATTAACTTAATGGGGATGACACCATTTTTAGATTCATTTGTATGCTTGTTAATGAGTTACATTCAAAATTTATGTAAACAACTTTTTTTATCCAAGTATGTCAACAAAATTAATATTATTATGTATGCTATAATTGGAACTTTTATGTTATCAAAACAAATGTTCGAAAAACATTTAAACTGCAGTTTTCTTGTCTTGTGATCCGCGCACTAGGAAATATTTCCACTTTAATAGGAACTAAGTGCAAACACATAAGCTTGCAATGTATATCAAATGTGTAGATGGCAATGTACATCTACGTGCCCATTTGACACGTAAGATACAATGTTTCACTATTCTATTCACTGGAAAAGAGAAATACATTTTCAAATTCTTGATAGGTGCCACGCCCATATTCCATACTTTGCCTTCATATCTACAATGTACATTTAGCTAGTTGACCCAAGTGTCTATAATCATTAGAATGAGGTCAGTTTAAACTATACTCCACCAATGGTTAATTTGGAATTGGCACACAGTTTTCAGATGGAACTAGATTAACTTCCATGAGTAGTGTTGTCTGCTTGTTTAACTATAGCATTTATGGTGGTTTGTTACCCAAATATGCTATAGTTAGAGAAACTGTTTAATTGTATTTAGGTCTCATTTTTATATTTTAGTTAATTATGTGTTATTTGTGTTTTAAAAATCATATTTCAACAGTTTAATGACGTTTATAAGTTTAACTTGTCACCTGGATTGTGAAAGCTTTATAAACAAGATGCATATATAAGCACCATCTTTCTTAGGCAATGCTCTCTGTGCAGAATCTGCTCAAATAACTTCATTAAAGCCTACTGGTACCAGTTCATGTATCAGCATAAATAAAAACAAAGAATTTGAAAGGAAAATTAAAAACAAACTATAAGTGAAAAGATAATGACATGAAATTATGTATATGTGAAAAATATGACTATTCTAGTAAATTTCTACAAAGAGTTGAAAGGTATGTACATATTTCTATTTGTTAATTTTGAATATTTCATTGCAGTGTATGTTGATGATAAAAGATAAGAGTTACTGACGTAGTATAGAAAATGGAAAATAAAATATACACATTTAACTTAAAAAAACTTTGATATTTTTTTACAAATAAAATGTGAAAACTGTAAGATAAAAAAATAGTATTTTTATACTCCACATGAAAATCACCTTGCACATGAAATATTCAGAGTTTGAGTGCAAATAACTACATAGAATAATGAATTTTTATTAGAAATAGTAGGAAAAATAATTAAATATTTAGTTTTTTGAAACTACATACTTTTAGGAAGGTTCTTGTCAAACTTCATCAACTAGTTTTATTTGTGAAATACATTTCATGAGAGTTATATAATTTTCTTCCAATCAACGTACATTGTCCCTAAAGGGTTAAGAATAACATTTCACTCATCCCTATGACTTCCAGCTACTATTTTTTTTTAGTAGATAACATCACACTCATCATATTTCATCCATAAATAAAACTAGTGGATGAAAATGTTTAAAATTTGACAAAAACTTTCCTAAAAGTATGTAGTTTCAGAAAAAATATAACACTTAATTTTGATTTTTTCCTACTATTTCTAATAAAAAATTCGTTATTTAATGTAGTTATTTGCACTCACACTTTGAATAGTTCACTTGCAAAGTGATTTTTATAGGAACTATAAAAATACTATATTTTAACTTACAGTTTTCACATTTCATTTGTAATCTCTAGGATCTCATAAATTCATATCAAAAGTTTTTTTACAGTAAGTATTAATATTTTATTTTCCATTTTCTTTACCATATCACTAACTATATTTATTATAATCAACATTCAGTGCAATGAAATGTTCAGAATTAACAAATGGAAATACGTATACAACTTTTCATACAATTATTCTAGTGGATTTCTATTTTTGTTTAAATGCATAATTTCAAGTCTTTGTCTTCATTGAGTTTATTTGTAATTTTCCTTTCAAATTTTTTGTCTATTATCATCTATGCCCATACACTAACTGATGCCCACAGGGCTTTACAAAGGTAATTTGTCACAATCTCCCAAGAGAATGTTGCTGAAACAAGATGGCGCTTAAACACACCATCTTGTTTATAACCTTTCAAAATTCAGGTGACAAGTTAAACTTATAAAATCATTAAATTGTTCAAATATGATTTTTGAAACAAACATAATATATAATTAACTAAAATATAAAAGTAAGACTTAAATACAATTTAACGGTCTCTCTAACTATAACATATTTAGGTAAGAAACCACTGTACATGCTATAGTTGATCAAGCAGACAATACAAATGGCAGTTACATGTACACTGTATGGAAAAATGCACACCAATTTCAAATTAACTGCTGGTATAGTGTAACTGAGCTCTTGCTAACAACTATATGCACTTTTATCAACTAACAACATGTACATTGTAGATTTCAAGACAAAGAATAGAAGTTTGGCATAGCAAGTTGGAAAATTTATATCTGTTTCCCAGACAATCCAGCTTACAGACGTTAGATCTCAAGTGACAATTAGGTCAAACATACATACTTAGAGTGTAGAAATGTCTGTACATGTTAGCTTGTGTGTCTAAGAGATAAATGGTGCTAAAGTTGAGATTTTTCAAAGCATGTGGATCATGTGACATGAAAACTGCAGTTTAAGTAATTTTTAAAAGTTTTTTTTTAAAAAAGTAATTAAAATTTAGATAATATAAAAATCTCAAATTATAACACAATATAATATTAATTTATTTTTCATATATTGATAGTAATGTGGTTTAATTAAATTTTGAATTTAACGCAGTACCATATGCAGAAAGGGATTTAAAAATGGCACTGGGGACCATAGGGGTAAGAGTAATTAAATCATAAGAACGTTTACACTTAATCCTGTGTTTTTAACAGTTTCTTTAGTCTTGTACCTTGTGATTTGTATGCTCTGTTAAAGTATGAGAACTGTTATTTGTTCTAAACAGTCATATATAATCTAATCAAATAAGGTCATTCACATTTTCATTAATAAAGTAAGTACGTTTATCTCTCTATATTTAAACATGAAAATCTTTATGGCCTACTTAATCCCATCGAAAAACACACAGCTTTCCTGATATTATAAGCACTTCACTGACATATGGAAAAATCAACTCTTGTATGACCAAATAGTGGGATTTCACCATCATCCTTATAATGCATACACGGCCCCAAAGTGTAGAGCAGTTTTTTCTTTATGGGGGGAGAGATAAGACACTTATGATGGCCCCATAGCTCCATAATCCAGCTGACCACTGGACCATACTTGGTACAAACAGAAAGAAGCATTACAGTGATTAACCAACAAATAATAGCCCTAAAACTGGTAGCAAAAATCCTAAAATACCTTTCTGAAAGTGCAGCAGCTTTTTCTTCTAATGCATCAGTTTGGTTAAGATCTGGCAAACCTTCCCAAGAGCAACATTTTGGAGCCTTTTCAAACCTGAAAATTATGATAACTAAGTTTTTAAAAATAGCATATGATAGAAAAAGTAAGAATGGTTATTGAAGGCCCTGGAATCAACTTCGTAACCATTTTGTGCTTGTTATAGTTTTCATGCTATAACTTTTAAATTAGTGAGTGTATGTTAACAAAATTTGGCAGATTATCAGTGAACATTACAATGCTTTTATATGCAAAATATACATTTTTTAAAATTAAATCTTAAGGTTTGTTAAAAAATGTTTTTCTCATACCTTTTTTTCTTTTCACATGTTACCTATCCAACATGCAAAATAATTTTCATTTTAAGATTAAAAATACTTTTATTCATCAGAAAATTTTCAAATTTCATATGTGAAATCTTTATAATGTCCAGATAGTGATCAAACGTTTTATACGGAAAAACTTTATATTTTATCTGTTATTTTCACTAACAAATCTCTGTACAGGTTCGGTAGATTTGACTGATCTTGTAACTATCATAAAAAATTAGGAAATAAATATAAATTATGCCTCTTTTGTTTTAGAATGACAACAAATTATAAAACAAAAACATAAATGTTTAGACT